GGATATAACTCAGTACAAGGACCCTTGGTTAAATCTTCAGTATGCAAAAAAAGTACAGACAATAAACTAATGATTAAGATGAAATGAAAACTACTCAATTCAAAAAGAAGTCAATAGAGGTGATAAAAGGCAAAGTACAGATGGAAAAAAACAAACAAAAAAATAAATTAGACAATTTAAAACCATATCAAATCATAACAAATCATACTAAGTAACAAAAATTATACCAATTTATGCATGCACACAGTCATTCACCACATATTTATTAAATGTATGCAATATCTAAACTCTGGTATCTTGCTGAGAATATCTTGCACTTCCGTTGCAACCAGAATCGTGGAAAGAATTAAGTTCATGAACTGAGGTACCACTGTAATAGGTCATAAAGCTGCCAAGTTCTCAGCTCTCAAGGGCTGCTGAGTGTAATAATGGGTAGAAATAAGGAAAATCACAATTAAAGTGTATGTGACCTACTCCTTAATAACAGGGTACATCAGAGTGGACCTCTACCCCATACCATGTACAAAATGGACCAAAGACCTAGGGGCAGAGCTAAAGCCATAGGACATTTAGAAGAAAACATCTGGGTAAATCACAACCTTTGATTTGCCAAGGAATTCTTAGATCTGACACGAAAAGCTCAAGCAACAAAATGAAAAAATATATAAATTGGACTTCATCAAAATTAAAAACTTATGTGGCACACACCTGTAATCGCAGCACTCAGGAGGCTCAGGCAGGAGGATTGCTGTGAATTTGAGACCAGCCTGGGCTGCATAGTGAGTTCCAGGTCCACCTCAACTACATAGTGAGACCCTGTCTCAAAACCAAAAAAAAAAACTTATGGGCATCAAAAAGCACTATCATGAGAGTGGAGAGACATTCTATAGAATGAGAAGAAATATTTGAAAATCATATATCTGAGGTGGAATTGTACTTTCTAAAAATTTTTAAAACTCCCACAATTGGGCCAGGGATTTTGCTCAGTGGTTCCGCCACCTGCCTCACAAGGACTAGGTCCCAAGTTCAATCCCCATGACCAAAAAAAAAAAAAATCCCACAACTAAATAATAGAAAGAAAAGCAATCCAATTAAAAACTGGGCAAGGGGCTTGGAAGAAATTTCTCCCAAGAACACACACAAATGGTCAACAAGCACATGAACCTACGTTCACCCTTCTTGCTGCGTCATTCAGAAAATGCAAATGGAAATCACAGCAAGCTATTATTATTATTATTATTTCAAACCATAACAGGAGCCTTATACATTTTTTAAATGTTTCCTGCAATGCATGAGGCCCTGAGTTTGATCCCCAGAACCACAGGAAAAATAAATAAATAAATAAAAAAAAATGAGGAAAGTAATAATGTACCGTCAAGAGTATGGAGAAACTGGAAGCCCCCGCACTGCCAGTGGGTATGTAAAAGGCCACAGCTTCTATGGGAAACCCGGCGATGGCTCCTCCTGGAAACCTGCCTTAGAATTATCCCAAAACCCAGCCAGTCCGGTCCTACAAGCAGACTCCAAGGAATGGAGAGCGGGGACTTGAGCACATACTGCACCAGTGTGCACAGCAACCTTCTGCGTTCGCGATGGCCGAACAGAGCCAGCGCAAGCGCCCATGGAGAAGCGCACGGATAACTGTGGCGCGTCCCTGCCATATTATTACGGCACGAAGAGGCTGCAGGCAGGACGCCGAGGAACCTTGAAAACCTGCTATACGGGAGGCGCCAGACATAAAAGATCATGAGTCATACGCTTGCATGTACGTCAAACATCCAGGCTAGGCGAACCTGGAGACACACAGAAAGCTAAGAGGCGGGGTGGCAGAGGCTGACTTCTTAATGAGAGTGGAGTCTCCTCCAGGAGTGATTAAAATAGCTTGGAACTAGAGAGGTGATCGCTCAATACGAAGTCAAACATTTCCAAATGATTAATTTCATGTAATGTGACTTTATGTTGTGTGAATGCTACTACAATTAGGAGAGAGGTAGGGGGAGGGAGAGGAGGCAAAGAGAGGAGAGAGAGGGGTTATGCCGTGTGCGTTTAGGGCTCAGAGAAACGGTGACTTGGTATTTGATAATATTAAGGAATTGTTTTTAAGGTATCCTATGCTATTGTGGTTCTGATCTTTCTTTTAATTCTTAGAAGATGAAATGATATGTAGGATTTCCTTCAAAACATTCTAAAGAGCAGGGAGGAGTAAGGAGGTATCTAAGCAAGTGATACTGGCCTTATGTTTAAAATGTTTGAATCGGCTGGGTAGCCCACGCCTGTGATCCCAGCACCCTGGGAGGCTGAGGTAGGATTACTGAAAGTTTGAACCTAGCCTGGGCAACTTCGCAATTTGGTGAAAAACTCTGTCCCCAAAAATAAAGACCTAGGGATGTAACTCAGTCTGGGGTCATTCCCTAGTGTACACAGATAACTCTGCCTGCTGATGGGTACATGGGAGTTCATTAAACTGTTTTTGCATATGTTTGAATTGCTCCATAATAAAAAAAAACTTAAACCCCAAAATCCTGAGGGCAAGCTATCCTCCCCGGAACTGAGAGCATGTGACAGGCCCTCCACAGTGAGGGATGAAGGAATGAAGGAATGAATGAATGAATGAAATAAGGGGAAAGGTCAATGAAAGCCTTGAAAGAGGCTCCTCCATGCACCACCCTAGAGTGACCTGGGGAGAGATCTGAAGCTGTGGAGTCGGCCAGGGTGACTTGGTGCTGCCTGGCCCTGGGTGAGCAAAGTGAAGACTCCAGAGTGCCACTGTGGCTGACAGCCTTTCCCATGGTTGTCCCTCGGCATAACCCAGGCCCCAGGACGCCTGTGCTCCTGCTCCTGGAACATGCGTGTGACCTACATACCCAGCCCTTTTATTTTTAGAGACAGAAGGGCCTTGCTAAATCGCTTAATTACTCAAGCTGGACTTGCATTTGCAATCCTCCTGCCTCAGCATCCTAGAGTGCTGGGATTACCGGCTGTGCCACCAAGCCCAGCTCCTGGCTTTCTTGTGCAGTTTTGGGACTGCACACAGCCCTGGAGGAGGGGCGGGCTGCTGCCCTGTGCTGGTTTGTGCTGAGGGTGGACACTGTCCTTATGAGCCAAAGGCAGCCACCATATAGCCTGCGCCTAGCTCAGAGTCCAGACCAGCTGAAGGGATGGGCTGTATATCAAGGGCTCACACACCTGTGAGTGTCCCCGGGTCCTTCCAGAGCTCTGAGAGCTCTGGAGAGAGAACTGGGCAGGTGACTCCTGGGGCTGTGGGTGCAGCTAGAGCTCCTGTCCCCCCCCCCCCCAGTTATCAAGGACAGACATTCAAAGGCAGCCACCATATAGCCTGCGCCTAGCTCAGAGTCCAGACCAGCTGAAGGGATGGGCTGTATATCAAGGGCTCACACACCTGTGAGTGTCCCCGGGTCCTTCCAGAGCTCTGAGAGCTCTGGAGAGAGAACTGGGCAGGTGACTCCTGGGGCTGTGGGTGCAGCTAGAGCTCCTGTCCCCCCCCACCCCAGTTATCAAGTGCACAGACATAAGTGCATGTGCGCACACTGGCGCCTCTTCTGTCCCAGACCCTGTGTAGGCGGGGCTGCAGTTCTGCCAGCTCCCCTGCCCCGTGACCTTGAGCTCTGCTGCGCCTCTGCTGAACTCCACGCCTACCCACCCCATCTCAGCACAGCTCACCTCCTGCAGGAAGCCTTTCCTCAGCTCCCGACCTTCCACACCTCCTCCAGGTGCCCATCCACCTCTGCAGGTGCCTGTAGTGCCCTTTCCTCCTGGGCAGTAATGAACTATCTGCATCCCTGCCCCCTGCAAGGCCCAGGCCTCCAGTTCTGAGTGCCAGCACCTGTGCAGTGGTGGCTCAGTGAACAATAGACAGCCTCTCTCTGGGCTTCTGCACAGTGCTCAGGCTGGCCAGAGGCCTTTCAGCTGGGAAGCTCTGTGGCTTTGGGGACACAGGAAGAGCCTTGGTCACCTCCAGGTCCTATCCAGTGCAGGGCAAAGGAGGCCACACCGGAGACAGTGAGTCCTGGATGGATGGGCTTGGCCAGCCTCATCATGGAGCACTTGCTGCTCTGCCTGAGTCTTGGGGTGTCTGTCCCCCAAAAGTCCCAGGGCAAGCAGCTGAGTGGCATCCATCTCCTGCCCCAGAAGCCGCTCAGGTCTGGGTCCAGGCAGCTTTTCCACCAAAGTCTGTATAGTGGATGAATGAGTGAAGGTATACATGAATGAATGAATGTATAATGAGTAAATGGATAATGAATGAATGAATGTATAATGAGTAAATGGATAATGATTGAATGAATGCAATTGAATGAATGCATGAATAAGGAATGAATGAGCGAGTGAGTGCTCAACCTGGTAAGCAGAGGAGACCACTGACTTCTCAACAAGGAAAGCAGATCACCAGGCAAATGGACAAAGGTGGGTCCTCTGCCAATAAATGAAGTATGCTGAGCCAATCTTTACAGACAGAGGAGGCTTCCCTGAAGGCTGGGTCCCTGTTGTTCTTCCTTCTCAGCTCAGTCCAGGGAGGTGCATGCTGGCCAAGGTCACACGGAAACATCAGTGCCGGGATGGGGGTGTCCGGATGATCAGGTCTGCCAATGATTAACCTAAACCCCGGGGTGGACCCGTGAGGCCATGTGGATTGTCTCAGGGGGCACTGGGAATGACCTGACCATGAACCGCCCATTGGGTCCAGTCCACGCTGAGCGTTAGAAATTAAGCAGCTCGTGGAAACAACTCTGTATCTGCCCTCGTGGAGCCTGGCTTCTGGAGAGGAAACCACATGAGCATGCTGTATTATTCCAGGTGGACATAAGAAGGACAAAGCTGTTATAGGTTGGCAGGGAGAGAGGTGGGATCTCACCGAAGAGGGATTTAGGAGCAGAGAACTGAGTGAAGTGAGCAGTTCAGCTGTGGACAGAGCTGGAGAAAGGCTGTGCTGGGTCGCATACAGCACGTGCAAAGGTTCTGAGGCAGAAATAAACTTGGTGAGTTCTTGAATAGCAAGAAGGCGGTGGCGGGGGCTGCAGCAAGGGAAGTGAGGCAAGGGAGGGTCAGAGGCAAGGTCAGGAAGAAAACGAAAAGCTAAGTGGATCATCCAGGGTCCCAAGCCTGGCACTCGGTGGAGCCAGGATGTGAAGAAGGGCCGTTTGGAGGAGGATGAGCAGGACACAGGGGTGAGGATGAGGACCAAAGGGACCCCAGGAGCCTTCAGGAACACAGGAGGGTCAGGAGAAGCCCTCAGCTGCCTCTCAAACCCTAGGGAAAGGACGGCAGGGGTGAGAGCGCCCCCTGGTGGTCAGAAAGTTCCAGGGTGCCACACAACCCTTAGAAGCCCTCAGCTGGCGCAGGGTGTGGGCTGCTCTGCCCAGACGAGTGTGCCAGATGCGCCGGGTGTGCCTCTGTCAGCAGGCCATCCCGGCCTCACCCAGCCTGGTTCAAGTCCCAACTCCATTGGCCCCCAGCTGCTTGAGCCCTAACATTCCCCCGCCTTCTCATCTGTCAGATGGGGGCGCAGAAACGCCTCCCCACAAGGCTGCAGTGGGGACCGCAGGACTCTCCTGGGCAATGCTGCTAAGGGTTGGGCGCAGAGCAGACACCGTGTGAGTCTCCTGTACCACCATCGTCATCATCATCATCTCTTTGGCGCTCTTGTCCTCAAGTCTCCACTGCTCCCAAAACAAGAGGGATGCCGCCCCCTCGGCTGTGGCTGCTGGTCACCGCGCTCCTGGCTGCGGCTCATCGGACAGCCCTGGCACATGGAGGAGATTCTGGCCTCCTGGACCCCGGCCCCCAGGACAGCCCACCCTGGACAGCCTTGCCGTGCCACAAGATCTCCGTGAGCAACATAGATTTCGCTTTCACTCTCTACAGACAGCTGGCTCGGGACTCCCCGCGAGAGAACATTCTCTTCTCCCCGGCCAGCATCTCCACGGCCTTGGCCTCGATTTCCCTCCGGGCCTCGGCAGCCAGCAGGGTGCAGCTCCTAGAGGCCCTGGGCTTCAACCTCACCATGGTGACCGAGGCCGAGGTCCAGGACGGCTTCCGGGACCTCCTGCTCAGGCTGCCGGTGCAGGGCTCCGGGCTCCTCCTGAGCACCGGCCAGCGCCGGTTCGGCATTCTGGACCCCGGGGCCACCCTGGACCTGAAGGAGGCTTGGAAAAACATGGACGAGCACATAGATAAGCAGACCCAGGGCAAGTTTGGAACCTGGGGAAAGGACGTCAAGAATGAAACCACAGAGGTTCTGGTGAATCATGTGCTTCTCAGAGGTAAGGTGGGGGCATCCTCCAACATCAGCCCTTCCAAGACTCGACCTCCATCCCCACCCAGCTGGCTCCCTGCATCAAATAGGAAGTGTCTTTGGCCTGTCTCAGTTTAGAGATAAAGACATGTGGTGCCTGTCCACTGACTCCTTGATGCTTCTGCTTGAATACCTCTAGTGATGGGGAACTCATCACCTATCATATTTTAATGCTACTGGTTGACTTTGTTTTCAAAGAAGGATTTTTTTCAACCTCTAGAGTGCATAAGCACCCCCTGGAGAGCTTGTGTGAGATGCAAGCATCCCACATCCACACTGACTCTAAGGGATCCTGGTTCATTGGATGGGTAAATCTGAGCCCCAAGGCCCTGCATTTGAAGAAACTGCCCCTCCACCACACACACACACACACACCCCAGGTGATTCAGCAGCAGGAGCTTGTGAATTCACTTTGATAGCCCCTTAAGAAACCCCTGGATTTAGGAACAGGAATTCTTCCCTTCCTTGGGCAGGCTCAGGACGTGTGGATTAGAGATTAAGGCAGGAAGATGGGGGAAGGATCCTTATTTTTCCAAACTAGGCAATAGGCCGTGTTTCCTCCACTATTTACGCCCCCATGTGTTTATACCCGCGATCCTGTTTGACCCTCACCCCCGCAGTTATATGAGCAGCCTCACCTCCCAGAAGAGGCTGAGGTTAACATTTCCATTTGAGAGAAGAGAAAACAGGTTTTCACAAAGAAGAAAACTTATTTGCATGACCCAGTGAATGTGTCAGTCTGTGCACTGAAACTTCACATGGGTATTGATGGGCCCCGGGGCATCGTAGATGATGGAGTCATAGATGTTGATGCAGTGCCATGAGTATTTAATCTTTGATCACTTGTGATAAAAACCCAACAAGGTAGATAGGATTCCATGGTTTGACAGATGAGGAAACCAAGGCACAGTGAGTTCACCATAGGAACCTCACCTTCCAATGCACACCCTCCTCCGGAGGAGCTTGTACCCTGAGAACAATGTTTTTCTTAAATATGAGCCACTTCCCAGAGAGATGAAGGGGATGAGACCACGTTAGTCAGCTTCCCATCAATGTAACAAAATGCCTCAGTTAATCAACTTGCAAACAGCAAAGGTCCCTTTGGGCTCACGATCTGGAGGGCTTGGTCCACACTTGCTTGAACCTGTTGTTTTGGGCCTAGGATGGAGCGCATGTTGTGGAGAGTGTGTGGCAGAGTGAGCTGCTCACCTCGGGGCCAGGATGAGAAAAGAGAGAACAGGAATAAGGAGGGGGGGCTAAATCCCTTCTGAGAGCCACCCCCAGGCCAGCCTCTTGCATGCTTTGCCCTGCAGACCCCAAGACCCAGACTGCAGTGAGCATGGCCCCCTCATGCAGGGTGAGCCTGCCATGCTACTGCAATAGTGTGCAATGCTATTGATCACTTTACAAACAAACCAGAGTGCAGGGAGGCCAAGGGCTCTGCCTTTGGGGTCACCTAGGTCAAAGAGGACAAGCCAGGAGCGAGTCCCTGAGCTGGGCATCCAGGGCGGAGGGCTACAGCCCAGGTGACCTCCCCGCGGCTTTTCTCTTCTCTGTAGCCGGGTGGGCGCAGCCCTTTGACCCACGAGGCACCAGCCTGCGGGGCTTCTCTGAGGACGAGCACAGAGCCGTGCAAGTCCCCATGATGAAGCAGCAGGCCCGCGTCCGCGTGCTGCGGGACCCCGAGCTGCAGTGCGGGGTGCTACAGATGGACCACGCCAGGAACACCACCTCCTTCTTCGTCTTCCCTGACCCCGGCACCATGGGGCAGCTGGAAGAGGCGCTGCAGCCCGAGACGCTGATCAAGTGGGACAGTCTGCTCAGGACCAGGTAGCCCGAGGGCGCTGTCACCCCTAGAACAAGGTCACCACCCAGAGCACTGTCACCCCTGTCCCGGGAGCTGTCAGCTCTAGGAGATGGCCCTGGGCTCCATAAGGTAGCAGTTCTGGAAAGGAGCCCTGGACCAAGAGCTGGGAAGTGTGCCTGTCCCTGCTCCGCTGCAGACCGGTGGCAGCCTGGGCCAGTACTGTCCCCTCGCTGGGCTTTGGTTTTCTTGGTGGCGGGAGGACAGTTAGAAGGACAGGGACTCAAACCCTGAGAAGCAGAAAACTGTCCCTTTGTATAACAGCAGGGGAGGCCGCCCCGTGGAGAAAAGGCCGAAGGGGCAAGTGGAGCAGAGACCAGAGACAGGGCCGGAAGAGGGACACAGACGCTTCCGGGATCACAATCTCCTCTGCAAACCATTTCTGTCTCTCCGCAGAGACCTCGCTTTCTATTTCCCCAAATTTTCCATTTCCAGCTCCTCCAGGCTGGAGCTGCTGCTCCCCCTAGTGGCCGTGGGCGGAAGCTTCCCAGGGCAGCCTGCCCTGCATGTCTCTAAAGTAAGGAAGAAAGCTGGACTCCAGGGGTTCTCTTCCTCTGTGTGTGTGTGTGTGTGTGTGTGTGTGTGTGTGTGTGTGTGTGCGCGCGCGCATCTACCTTGGGATTAAACAGGGCCTTCACACTGAGTTACATCTCCAGCCCCTTTTTAATTTTTTATTTTGAGATAGTGCCTCACGAAATTGCCCAGATGAGACTCAAATTTGCAGTCTTCCTGCCTCAGCCTCCCACTTTGGTTTCTGTTTTATTTTGGTTTGGTTTCGCACTGGGGATTGAGCCCAAGGCCTCGTCCCCTCCCCATTCCTGGTGACATTCATCCAGCACTGCTGTATCCCAGGGGACACACAGTGCCTCCCAGCAGACTAGTGAGGTCAGTGCTGCTGTCCCATTGTACAGCTGAGGAAACTGAGGTTTAGCAAGTATCTTTGTCCATTTTCTGCTTCTGTAACAGAGTGCTACTGGCTGGGAAATTTATAAACAGTAAGAGTCTATTGTGTTTATGGCTCTGGAGGCTGGGAAAACTGAGATCAAGGAGCTGCATTGGGTGAGGGCCTGCAGGCCATGGCCTCAGTGGGAAGACAAGCAAGCCCACCAAGATGGAGACAAAATGGGGCTATGAAGGAGGTTCAGACAATGTAAGAAACCAAAGTCCAGCTGTCAGCTTACACTATCTCATGAGATAAGACTCTGTAAACAGAGCTGTCCTTGGGAATGTCTTGAGCTGTGTGCTTGCAAACATGACAAATTACTCTAGACATTCTTTTACAAGGACATTTTAACCTTCAAACTAGAAAACTCTGTGCCTGCAAACGGGACAGAGCACTCTTTTGAGGAAATGGGAGGGGCTCAAGTCCAGTTGCAGGCTCTGGGCTTCTTGAGCATGAGTCATCAATCTCGTGAGATAGCTGGGATGTTCTGACAAACAGATAAAGTAGGAGAATTGTATTGTTAGTAGATGAGGGGGCTGCCCAAAAAGACTGTATCAAAATAAATGTGACTCGGTCCTTGTGGCAGCAGTCTTGTCCTGTCTTTGTGTGTGTGTGTGTGTGTGTGTGTGTGTGTGTGTGTGTGTGTGTGTGTGTTGTTTCTGTCATTTCTTCCTCACAGATCTAGAAGGACCGCAACAGGGCTACACTCACCCTTTCCCCAGAACCCTCCATGAAACGAACCCACTCCCACAGTTGCTCCATCTTCCCTGAACCCTACAATCCCCTGGGCATCCAACCCCAGACCTCTCCGGCAGCCTGCATGTCCAGGACCTGCCCCTCCCTGCCTTGGCACACAGTTTTCAGACCACCTTGCATGGCCTTCCCACCTCCAAATATGCAAATTCCACTCCCCCTTCACATCCCTGTGTAAGTGCAGGCTACTTCTTCACTTCTTCAGTACAGACTTCTCTAATCTCATCTCCCTGGTGCCACACCCAAGGCAGAAACACATCTCTCCTGGTAACTCTCCAGCTCACTTTTGGGCATTTTCCTTCCTTGCTCTGCCATGAGCCTTTGGGGGTCATTCCCCTTTGTGTTTATAGTCCCTACCGTGCCTGGCACATTGGATTGCAAACAATGGGTACTGTGTAAATGCTTACTGAATACATTCATGAATGAATGAGTGATGGGATGAATGAAAAGGAGTCATCAGATGGAAGTGAATGAAAGGATCAGTAAGTAGTGATGGGAGGAAGAGAAACAGGTGGAGATATGAGTAGGTAGATGCTGGTGTGACGTTCTAAATGCATTACAACTAACATGATGCAGATGCCAGGCATGGGAATGTAAATACCAGGGTAGACGGAGGACAGGTGAATGGGTAGATGAGTAGGGAACAGACAGAACCATGGGTGGGGATGTCTGGGTAGGTGGGTGGGTGGACAGATGGGTGAGCGAGTGGGCGGATGGATGGGTATGTGAACACCAGAAGGGCGGGCAGGTATAGCTATAGATAAGCAGATGGTTAGCAGTTACATGATGAATTATGGTTTGCTAAATTGTGTGGATGAATAAATAAGTGGGCCAATGATAAGTAAATCATTCAAAAAGCAGATAGATGAAAGGATGGGCAGTAAGTGAACAGTACATGGTCGTGTAAAGGAACAGAAGGAAAACTGGGATTAAAATCAAGCCACAACTGGTCCTTTCTGTGGGGTAATCAGTGATTCCAGAACTTTCCTTGCAGGTGACACATCAGGCCAGGATGACAGTGGACGAGGACGGCACCGAGGCCGCCGCTGCCACAGTTGTTCAGCTCACTCCCAGACCCCACCTGGACTCTGATCTCCCAGCCCCACCAGGCCCTGCTGAGCTCAGCCGGCCCTTCCTGGTGATGACTTTCCACACAGAGACAGGCAGCATGCTTTTCCTGGGGAAGGTCGTGAACCCCCAGGGTAGTGCAGCCCCTGACCAGCCGGGTGACTCAGAGCCAACAAAATAGGAGACTGTAATGGGGAACTCAGTCATCATCCACGTCTCTGGGTCTCCTGTTGACGTAACCAGATTGTCCGAGATGTGGACTCCTTGGAAGTGAAGTGGTGTAATGGGTTGATTAATGAATGGTCAACTTGTAACCCTCAGCTGAACTGAATCAGCTTGGCCTGGGCATAGAGGATCCACCTGAGGATTGTTGCCTGTAGCCATAAAAAGAGAACTGGGGAGGAAGACCTGGGCCTGTTGATTTTTCTAGGAGAAGTTTACTGTGGATGGTTTTCCTGATGCAAACTAGGCTGTTCTCATCGGAGGAGGAGCTCGGGGCCTTGTCACTGGGAATGGCTGCTGTTCTCATCAGGGGAGCTCTGATCTTCACCATGAGCATCACTCTGGGCCACTGGCTGGACTCGAGGAGGACATTGCCTTGTACTCTAAGCCTTGAGCTGGACTTGTATAGGAAAGTGCTGGGATCCAGGCCCTCAGTTGAATGTTTTGGGCTTCTAGTGTGTGGTTAATCTCTTGCATGCCTTTGCATTTGACTCTTTGGATAATTATCCTAAAATAACCTTATAAGTAACATGTCCTGTATTTAATGTATTCCCTTGCCCAATCCTGCTGACTACAACAAGTGGGAACCATTCTGAAGTGGATGCAGGCAGGCAGCCTGGCACATCTTCCTGCCACTGACCGCTGGCCCCAAGCCAGGGAGCTGTGGTTGCATAATCAAGTCTGACGATAGACTGCATATGGCCTGTTCACTGGTGTGGTTTCCATGGGCATCTAGGATTCACAAAGGAAGAGGGACTGAGATCAAGCCCACTGCAGATAGACTATAACTACAAATGCAGTGACAGCTGTTATGGACCATTTCTTTATGTGCCATGTCCCATTTAACATAAATTCTCACTACAACCCAGCAAAGTTAAGTATTAGGTTAATGCATTAGCAGCTTTCTCATCACTGGACAAAATACCTGACACTGCAATTTAAAAGAGACAACTTTTCAATGGCTCACGGTTTCAGAAGATTCAGTCCGCAGTCAGCTGACTAAGGCAAAACATCATGGCAGAAGGGTGTGGCGGAGCAAAGATGCTCACCTCATGGCAGCCAAGAAACACAGCAAGGAAAGAGAGGAAGGGGTCAGGGACCAGATATAATGTCCAAAGTCACGCTTCCTCCCTGGCCCACCCAGACGTGCACAGAAGTATGTCCCTCCAATCCCCTGAGCAGATCTCAAGCTGATCAAGTTGACAGTATAGCCTGTCAAGTATAACCATCTGAAATTGGGCCTTTTTTCTTTTAAACCTACAAAAAGAGACTTCTTATGGTCCAATCAAATATCTCTTCCCCCTTTCATAATGTAAATTCAAAGATGTTGAGAGACACAACCAAGGTTACTCAGCTGGTAAGCAGCAGGGCTGGGACTCAGATATGCTTTATATCACACCCTTGACTCCTGGTCTCATTTATTTTGATAAATTGATGATTTCAGACTTGACTGTGTACACAAATCCCCCCTGGATCTTGTTAGGAAGCAAATTTGGAGTCAGCAGTTTGGGATGGGACCTGCAGACCTGCTTTCCCATGAGATCCCAGCGATGCCAAGGGGCAGGTATGAAATTCTCTTGCCTCTGTGACCCCAAGGGACTAAGTTGTGTCACCAGCAGGGTAGACAAGTAGCACTGCCCTGCAGTGCATTTTAGAGCTGAGCAAATCTTTGGCAATATCTTTTTGAAGCCTGCAGACCAAGCTGGTCACCCATTCATGGGTGCACTGGGGAACCCGAGTGTCCTAAGACTTTTTCATATTCAGCAAACTGGGTGTTTCCTGCTGTCTGTAGGTCACTGTCCACATCAGTCACTGTTCCAGTGACTGTCACTGGCTGACAGCTGGCTCATGTTTCTGGGTCTCCAATGACACAGAAGAAGAGAGCCACCCAAGCCTGGGGACAAGATACATCAAAGATGTGAGAAATTTTATATCTGGGAGGGATCTTCTGCCCCTGGGCTGGTCCATGAAGCTGGTGGGCGTATGTATACTGACGGAATGAACACCCCAGCAGGGGGGGACCTCGATGCTCACCCTGATGTCAGCAGTGCCCTCCCTGGGAGTTCCCCAGGTGAAATGCCATCTGCTTGCCCTCCATCCTACAAGCGTGCGTGGGGGACCACCCATTCCAGACATTAGGGGTTCTTCCCCAGGTCACCTTTGGATGAAGCCACCATGTCTGGCCCTGTATTTCCCTGGGGACCTTGGCCCACTGTCCCAAGTTGCCAGCCATTCCTTCCTGTTGCTGTGTTTTAGATCCCCTCACCACATGCTGCTAAGTCCATGCCTCCCACCTCCTCCTGTCCCCATTTAGGGGACTTGTTCCCATCTGTCCCTGTCCCACCTGCATCCTGAGGGACGATCTGGTCCAACCCTCCCTGTGGGCAGAGGTGCCCATAGTACCAAGGCCAGAGGCCACCTCTGCTCTCTGGAGAGGTGGCTGTCTGTCCTGGGATCCCACATTCCTGCAACAGGAAGCTCAAAGGCTGTGCTGCCTCCTGGGACAAACAACCCGGGGCACCATGGGAAAAAATTGTCCCCTGCAAGCGGATGAGTCTGACGCTGTCCCAGCACCAAGGGGTGCACACCAGGAGGGGAAGGATTATGCAGGTCACTGGGGCCAGAATACCAGGCAATCATGGCTACGACCAAGGGGTGAGCAGAGGACGAATTCTAGTTCAGGAAGGGCAGGGGAGAAGCAGGTTGGTGCTCCAGAAAGAACCAGGGTCCAGGAGAGCAGGGTGGTAACAGACGTCAGCCCCTGTGAGTGGCTGTGTGACACAGTCCTAGCCTCCATCCCCTTCTGTACATACAGATCAGAGAGAAGCTCAGCACTGTCGGCGACATCAGACCTCAAGGTGCCTGAATGCAGGCCCTGGAGGACCCTGCCCAACCAGGACTTGGAGGCCACCCAGGACAGAGCAGAGAAGTAACTGCCTTCTCCAAGCCCCCCAAACAGAAGTGGGTCTGGCCCCAGGCCCTCCAGCCCCCTCCACACCTCTTTACACCTGAACCCTCTCTGCTGTACATTTCAGTTTGTGTCCCTCTCTCATCCACGACAGACAGAGCTGTGTCCAGGCTACCTCTGTGGGTGACAGACAGAGGTCTGGAACCCCCACTGGCATTGGGCTGTTCTAACATTAGGGGCAGAGAAGAGCTGGAGGGATACAAGGGCCAAGACAGCACACACACACACACACACACACACACACACACACACAGAGAGAGAGAGAGAGAGAGAGAGAGAGAGAGAGAGAGAGAGAGAGGCCAGAGGGAAAGCACAGCCCAGGCAGAGGGAGACAGAGGCAGCAGGGGGACAGGAGAGAATACTTCCCAGGCCCCCAAGCCCAGCCTGAGAAACTGCTCCCAGTGGCTGTTTGTGGCTGGCCCGGGCCCTGGAGCTTGGTGGATCCAGAGGTCTCCTCGCAGACACACAGAATGGGAGCCAGGCGGGGGAGAAGCTCAGAGCTGCTTGGGAGGAAACTCGCTGAGTAGTGAAGGATCCAGCCAAATTCCAGTCTCTGCTTTTCCTTTAGTTAACAAGAATTGGCCTTTCAGCAGGCGTTCAGGGCACAGTGGGTACTGTTGACGCTGCACAGCAGGTCGGTCTCTGAACTCACTCCCTGTGCACAACTGAAACTTTATACCCTCTGGGTACCGAGTCCCTCTGGAGCCTGGCAGCTGCCCCCGCACTCTGCTTCTGTGAGGTTGGCTGTGTTATAACCCTCCCAGGAGTGGAACCACGGGGTGTTTGCCTATTTCAGACAGTGTCTGGTCTGTTTCACTTAGCAAAATGTCCTCAGGGTCTGCCTGTTGCTGAGCATTGCATCATTTCCTTCATTTTCCAGGCAGAATGATCCCATCATATGTAAACAGCAAAAAGGCAACCTGCAGAATGGGAGAAGAGATCTGCAAGGCAGATACCTAACAAGGAAGGCATCAATAGCGAACATGCAGGAGGAGCTCCTAGAGCTCAACAGCAAAACAAGCAAATAGCCCAGTCAGAAGGTGAGCAAAAAATTTCTCCCCAGGAACAGATGCAAATGACCAACAGGTATGTGCAAGACACTCCGTGTCACTGAGAAGCAGGGAACACAGAGACCACAGTAAGTTACCCCTTCCACCTGTCAGGACCGCCATTCTCAAGATGAAATAAAAAGTAGAATGGAGTAAAATACCAAAACACAGTGAGTGAGGGCTGATGAGATTGTGGAGAAATCAGAATCCCTGTGCACCGTTGGTGTGAATGGAAAATTTTGTCACCACTATTGTACAGTGTGGTGGTTCCTTAAAAAATAAAATATAATAAAAAATTGCACAGGCTGGGCTTAGACCTGTGATCCTCCAACCTCAGCCTCCCAGACTGCTGGGATTACAGGGGTGGGTGCATCACCACACCCAGTACTTTGGGGTACTTATGCGATGGAAAACAGAACAGCTCAGTGCTATAACTGTTACAGCTCAGTGTCACAGCCAAGTGCCACAGCTCTGAGGCACAGCCAAGTGTTACAGCTCAGTGTTACAGATACCAAAATTTGAAGACTTGTGGAGAAGAAAAACCTTTTGTTATGCTAGCAGGCTTAGAGGAGTTCATACTCCAAAGTCTGAGTGATTCACCAGAAATGGGAGTCCTTATATAGGGATCTATAGGGTAGGCGAGCATGCTCACTGAAGCAGAGGAGGCGGAGTTACAGAACCTTCCTGAAACACAGCCTAGTGAGCATGCTCACTGAAGCAGAGGGGTGGAGTTACAGAACATTCCTGAAAGGGGTGGAGTTAACAGAACATTCCTGTAAGGGGATGGATCTAACAAGACCTGGAGACAGTTAAAAAATATTTGGATACATTAGACAGGAGCACTGTACAACACAAACTTACATTTCTGGAACAAAACATTTAGTGGAAAAAAACATGAAGGCAAGTCAAGGGCCTGTCCTATTGTGTATTATTGCTCTACCACTTATCCAAAAGCAGGATTTCCTTCGTGTTCACTGCAGATTTATTCACAGTGGCTGAGATGTGGGAACTCCTGATATTGAACAGATGAGTTCCTCTTGTTCTTTTCTCTTTCCATATTCACTGCCCAGGGTTCAGAAGGGGAAAGATCCCAAGGGCATCTCCCGGTGCTGTTGAGAGATTCTCAGAGAGGAGTGCCACAAGGCACAGAGCCAGCTGGTGCCATTCAGGGTCCCTGCCCTGCTGCCATAGGAACAGCTCTGCCCCCTGGTGGTAAAGTAAGATTTCAAGCGAAAGGGGATTACAGTGCTAGAATGTTTAAAATGAGAACA